AAAAAAAAAAAAAAAAAAAAAAAAAAAAAAATTGCAAGTGTATGGCAGGAAAGAATATAGAGACTACTAGTCCAGTATCTATTGGGAAGTAAGCTCATGGTGAGAGATAGAAAGTTTTCCAAAATTCTAATTATCGCTTGAAGTTTGACTTTTCATTGGCAACAAATACTATCTTTGTTTTTCTTGAAATAACTGATTTTTTTTGGCCAGGTTCCTCCAATTTAAATAATTACCTGATTTTTGAGAAAACATTTGCCAAATATTCAAAAACACAGTTTGTCTATCAGTCATTCTTTAAAGTAAAAGTAGTGTTCTATGAAAAAATTAGCTAGTTCAATCACAACTCAATCACTAAAATGCTTTTCTACAGAACCATCATACTTGAGTATGTAGCCAAAGTGCTTTATGCATACCTCCTATTTCATCACTCAGAATATTTAAAAATGTATACTCAAGGGTAGAGATTACAATCAATTTTTACTGTTTCATTAAGGGCATTCTTAAGTGAAAGTCACATTTTAAAAAAATTGTAAGTGGCTGGGTGCAGTGGCTCACACCTGTAATCCCAGCACTTTGTGAGGCCAAGGCAGGTAGATCATGAGGTCAGGAGTTCAAGACCATCCTGGCCAAGATGGTGAAACCCCATCTCTACCAAAAATACAAAAATTAACCTGGCACAGTGGCAGGTGCCTGTAATCCCACCTACTTGGGAGACTGAGGCAGGAGAATTGCTTGAACCTGGGAGGCAGAGGTTGTTGCAGTGAGCTGAGATCGCGCCACTGCACTCCAGCCTAGGTGATAAGAGACTCCGTCTCAAAAAAAAAAAAAAGCTAGTGCATGGCAGGAAAGAATATAGAGACTACTAGTCCAGTTTGTTGCCACTGCCTCGATTTGTATGTAATTATGCAGCAGCAGCTTTATCCATCATTGGTGTAAACATCAACATGGTGAAAAAGGCAAAAACTATCACAGTATCATTATAAAAATAGTTATTGTTTTGTTGTTGTTGTCTAGACAGTCTCACTCTGTCACCCCGACTGCAGTGTGGTGGTACGATCGACCACAGCTCACTGCAGCCTCGACCTCCCAGGCCCAAGGCATCCTCCCACCTCAGCTTTCCTAGTAGCTGGGACCACAGCCATGGGCCACCACGTCTGGCTAATTTTATTTTTTGTATTAGGCTGGTGCAATACAAACAGGGTCTTACTCTGTTGCTCAGGCTGGTCTTGAATTCCTGAGCTCAAGTGATCTTCCCGCTTCAGCCTCCGAAAGTGTTGTAATTACAGGCGTGAGCCACTGTGCACAGCTGAAAATAGTTTTGACCTCACAGGCTCACTATAAAAGAGCCAGGGAGCCTAGACTCCAACAGACCACAGTTTGAGAACTAATGCTCTATATTAAGACTTTTTCAAACTATAATATGAACTTTATAATTATTCCATTAAAAGATATAAGCTTTAGCCACAGAAACATCTTACTTTTGTGGGATCTTGTCATTCTATCAGATTTAGCAGATGCATCCTTAACTCGGTTATGATATTCCAAAAGAAATGTTCGTTCATGCTCAAAGAAATCATCTACATCCTATAAGATCAAAAGAAAATACAAACTTTTTTCACTTATTTGCTTTAGTTTAATATGTAAATAACTTTATAAATATAAAAGATTATCAGTAAAATAGCACAGCTATCCTCTAATAGTCAGATGTTACTGTACTAATTTCACCAGCAAGACTTTAATAGACATGCATTTCTATCTATCAAGTAAGAAATCTTCTATGATTTTGTAACTGAAGGCTCCCCAGATAGGTCCAAGTTCACATGCTGTATGTGCTCCCCAAATAGGTCCAAGTTCACATTCTTTCTTCTTTTTTTCAGATGGAGTCTCACTCTGTCGCCTAGGCTGGAGTGCCGTGGCATGATCTTGGTTCACTGCAACCTCTGCCTGCCGGGTTCAAGCGATTCTCCTGCCTCGGTGTACCAATAGCTTGGGACTACAGGTGCACACCACTACACCCAGCTAATTTTTTTTTTTTTTTTAGGCGGAGTCTCGCTCTGTCACCAGGCTGGAGCACAGTGGAGCGATCTCGGCTCACCGCAACCTCCGCCTCCTGGGTTCAAGCGATTCTCCTGCCCCAGCCTCCTGAGTAGCTGAGACTACGGGCGCACGCCACCACATCCAGCTAATTTTTTTTTGTATTTTTAGTAGAGACGGGGTTTCACCATGTTGGTCACGCTGGTCTCGAACACCTCACCTCGTGATCCACCCGCCTTGGCCTCCCAAAGTGCTGGAATTACAGATGTAAGCCACCGCGCCCAGCCTAATTTTTGTATTTTTCAGTAGAGACAGAATTTCGCCATGTTGGCCAGGCTGGTCTCAAGTTTCTGACCTCAAGTGATCTGCCCGCCTCGGCCTCCCAAAGTGCTAAAGTGCTGGGATTACAGGCATGAGCCACTGCGCTTGGCCTCACATGATGTACTTATTTGTGATCTGCCTCTACAATTCTGCCTCTTCAGTAAACATACTATTGCCAGCAGAAGTGATCAATTGTTTTTAAGGAAAAAGAAAACAATTCTGGTGGACAGAGTGAAAATCTATTTTTCTTGGCCTGTTACGTATTCTACTGGCCATTCCTGAAGGCTGCCTAGCCTTAGTCATTAAGGCCCTTTCTTACTGCACTGAGGACCCTGGCCAAACTATCTGAGGGCAATAATACGATTAACCACTGTCTTCAATCTTTTTTTTTTGAAACAAAGCTAGCTATACATTAAAAATAAAAATTATTATTATTATCTTCAGACAGAGTCTTGCTTTGTAATCCAGGCTGGACTTCAGTGGTGCAAACATGGCTCACTGCAGCCTCAACCTCCCTGGCTCAAGCAATCCTCCTGACTTAGCATCCCAAGTAGCTGGGACTACAGGTGCATGCCACGACGCCAAGACAATTTTTGTATTTTTTGTAGAGACAGGGTTTTGTCATGTTGCCCAGGCTGGTCTTAAACTCCTGAGTTAAAGTGATCCACCTGCCTTAGCCTCCCAAAATGTTAGGATTATAGGAGTGAGCCACTGCACCTGGCACAAAAATGAAATTAATAGTATTTTACCCCCTTGAAAATTACCAATAATTAAGTGAAAAAGCATCAGCTGACAGGATATAATTGGAGACCAGTATCAACACAACACAAGCAGCAAGAGTCAGTACTGACAAAATGTCATTGAAAACTGTAATTCAGCTGGATACAGTGGCTCACACCTGTAATCCCAGCACTTTGGGGAGGCTGAGGTGGGCAGATCACTTGAGCCCAGGAGTTCAGCCTGGGCAACATGGAGAAACTGTCTCTACAAAAAATACAAAAATTAGCTGGGTGTGGTGGCATGCACCTATAGTTCCAGCTACTTGGGAGGCTGAAGTAGGAGGATGGTTTGAGCCTGGGAGGCAGAGGTTGCAGTGAGCCGAGATTGGGGCTGCACAGCAGCCTAAGGCAACAGAGCAAGACCCTGTCTCAAAACACAAAATAAAATAAAAAATAAATATTAAAATAAAATTCATAATTCATATGTAACAGTTCTCTCTCTTTTTCTCTTTCGCCCAGGCTGGAGTGCAATGGCACAATCTTGGCTAACTGCAACCTCTGCCTCTGGGGTTCAGGCGATTCTCCTACCTCAAAAGCCTCCCGAGTAGCTGGGATTACAGGCATGAGCCACCATGCCTGGCTAATTTTGTATTTTTCGCAGAGACAGGGTTTCTCCATGTTGGCCAGGCTGGTCTCAAACTCCCAACTTCAGGTGATCCGCCCGCCTTGGCCTCCCAAAGTGCTAGGATTACAGGCGTGAGCCACCGCGCCAGGCCAGTTTTCTTAACTGTAGAAATGTGGATAAAACTGGCAGGGTTGTTGTGAAGATTACACAAGAAAATGTGGGCTACCAATCAACACATTATAAGTGTTCAAAAATGTTATTACTCTATTAATAAAATTATCAAAATTATAATCAACATAGTGGTTTACATTTAATGGCTAAGAAAAATGGTTGATATTAATGCATAAGCAGCATCAAATGGAAGTAAGCTGAGTCCTTATTGGAAAGCAGCCATAGCACATGCACTGTCAAGTATCCACTGACCTGTCTCTGAAAAATCAGAGTATAAATCAAATAGTACTCTACACACTAATTTTATTATGTCTATAAAAACAGGCAATGATGACAAAGCAGCATTCTTTTCTTCCTAGTATTTGCTTGATAATAGAAACATTGTTCTCATATTTTAATGGTAAGAATCTTCAGACAAATCAACTCTTGTACCATTTTTAGAACATCATTAAGAAAAATACAGGTGTTTTCGGCCGGGCGCGGTGGCTCACGCCTGTAATCCCAGCACTTTGGGAGGTCAAGGCAGGCAGATCACGAGGTGAGGAGATCGAGACCATCCTGGCCAACACAGTGAAACCCTGTCTCTACTAAAAATACAAAAAAATTAGCTGGGTGTGGTGGCGGGCGCCTGTAGTCCCAGCTACTTGGGAGGCTGAGGCAGGGGAATGGTGTGAACCTGGGAGGCGGAATTTGCAGTGAGCTGAGATCATGCCACTGCACTACAGTCTGGGCGAGAGAGCAAGACTCCGTTTCAAAAAAAAAAAAAAAAAGAAAAAAAAAGGAAGAAAAAAAAAAATAGGTGTTTTCCACACATATTATCTCAATCTTTTTATTAAGTCAGTAAGGTGGGTAGTATTATTAACCCCATTTTGAAAATGGAAAATCTGCCAGGGCACAGTGGTTCACACCTGTAACATCCTAGCATTTTGGGAGGCCAAGGCAGGCAGATCACGAGGTCAAGACTTTGAGACCAGCCTGGCCAACATGGTGAAACCCTGTCTCCACTAAAAATACAAAAATTAGCCGGACATGGTGGCAGGTGCCTGTAATTCCAGCTACTCAGGAGGCTGAGGCAGGAGAATTGCTTGAACCTGGGAGGCAGAGGTTGCAGTGAGCCGAGATTATGCCACTGCACTCCAGCCTGGGCGACAGAGCAAGACTCTATCTTGGGGAAAAAAAAGAAAAAAGAGAGAAAACGGGAAAACCGAGATCCAGAAAAATAAAAGAAAGTAACTTTTCCCAAGGACATGTAGCTTGAAGCAACACCAAAACCCCAACTGAGATCTTTTTTTTTGTTTTTTTTTTGGGACAGGGTGTCTCACTCTGTCGCCCAGGCTAGAGTGCAGTGGCAAAATCTCAGCTCACCGCAACCTCCGCCTCCTAGGTTCCTCAGCCTCCCGAGACCTCCAGGCTGGTCTTGAACTCCTGATCTCAAATGATCCACCCATCTTGGCCTCCCAAAGTGCTGGGATTACAGGCGTGGGCCACCGTGCTCGGCCTCACCAGAGATCTTCTAACTCTAAGCTGAACTTAGGTCTGCCCCTAACATTTCCAAGGCTAAACGTTAAATGTAAAAACAGAGGCAGCATCTCTTGGTACGCTCTGCAGCTCTGTCTGTCCTGCATCTAGGAGGACTTCATGTGCATGTGGGTGGACATTCCAAATTGCACACTGTCCCTCCCCTCCACCCACCTGCCCCATGATCGCCCCTTAACCACTCATGGAATACACATGAATGGCATGAACTCAGGGACGTTGCCCACGTAGGAACTGCAAGGCTTGGGATTTGGGTAGGGAAATAGGGGATTCTAGAAACCTGTAACCTGGTCTGATGTGAAGGGAAGGGGTGTGGGCTGCAGTCGGGCAAATTCCCTTAGCTTAAGACTTCTCATCCATTGTAGAAGGGAACGCTCTAAGGAGAGGAATCCAGGTCAAGGGGATTCCTCCTGTTCCTAGGACTAAAGATTCTAACCGTACAAATGTCTTTTACTCTAATTCTGCACATTTGAAATCTCAATCTATCTCCCTTTTAAAAGAAGTCTCAATACCACAGTTAATCAAGTAAAATCTTACCTTTACTCCTGAAACGATTACTCCGTCTGCTGATTTAACCATGTTTTTAAAGAAATCTTCAAGTTTCTCTTTTTTATTTTTTCCTCGCACACTCAACTGAAAGAAAGGTAATTTAACATTTTTTAAGATTACAAAAGGAAAGCAGTACCTCCTTTTTCTTTGATATTTAAATGGCAATCTCAAAAGGATCCTAGTTTTTAATCTTAATATATAAGTGGCAATTTCATCATGTACATCAATGATTTTCAAATTTTAGGGCATAAAAAGGAGTTTGGTAATAATATAGATATTCAGGACTCACTCTCAAAGATTCAGGTTCAGTTGGTCAACAAGAAGGCCTAGATATTTCACATTTTATGAGCGTATCTGATAATTCTGTTGCAAGCAGCCCTCTCACCATATTTTGTCAAACACTGCTGTATAAAATTTTAATAGACAATTAAAATTTTGGCTTGGGAATTCCTTTAAACATGTAAAATTTATTGGGGCACAATATACTACTGTACGATTCCACAATGACTCTGAATACATATCCTATACATTTGGAACTCTGCACTCATCCAAGTGTCTCTTGTCTGGCTTTTGGGGTCAGCAATTTATAGCACAAGGGACACAAAAAAGATGACTTTGAACAACATGAATGGTTATCCAAGGGCAAAACCAACAAGCAGCAGCTAACTCTTTGACTCCTAGCACTTGCTGCATCAGGGTGCTCCATAAAGGAGCAACCCATCTAATTCCCGTGTACTTCCATTGCTTCAATGCCCACCTTTATGTAAATGACTCACAACTCTCTATCACTACCTGCTATGGTCTGAATGTATGTGTCCCCCTAAAATTCATATGCTAAAAAAAAATTTTTTTTGAGACACTGTCTCCCTCTGTCATCCAAGCTGAAGTACAGTGGCGTGATCTAGGCTCACTGTAACCTCTGCCTCCCGGGTTCAAGGTATTCTCCTGCCTCAGCCTCCCGAGGAGCTGGGACCACAAGCATGTACCATCATGCTCGACTATTTTTAGTAGAAACAGGATTTCACTGTGTTGGCCAGAGTGGTCCTGAACTCCTGACCTCAGGTGATCCAACCACCTCGGCCTCCCAAAGTGCTGGGATTACAGGCATGCGTCACCACAACTGGCCCGCATCTTGAAGCTTAACTCCCAAGGTAATAATAATTAAGAAGAGGTGGGCCTGAGCCAGGTGCAGTGGCTTGTGCCTGGAGTCCCAGCTACTTGGGAGGCTGAGGTGGGAGGATCATTTGATGCCAGGAGTTTGAGGCTGCAATGTGCTATAACTGCACCTGTGAAAAGCCATTACATTTCAGCCTGGGCAATACAGCAAGACTCCATCTCTTAAAAATAGGTGGGGCTTTTGAGAAGTGATTAGGTCATGAGGGTGGAGCCTTCATAAATGGGATTAGTCCTTATAAAAGAGGCTGAGGGAATGTTACCCTCTTGCCCCTTCCTTCTGCCATGTGAGGACACAACAAAAAGGTGCCACCCATGAAGCACAGTGCCCTCACCAGACATGCAATCTGCCAGAACCCTGATCTTGGACTTCCCATTCTCCAGAACTGTAAATGATAAATTCTGTTGTTTATAAATTAGCCAGTCTAAGGTATTTTGCTATAGCAGCCAAACAGACTAGAATACTACCCATAAGCTCGTTCCTTAACCTTACATATTATATCCAATTGCCCACATGATTTCCTTACATGGAGACTGTGACTGTAACCTCACATTAGATGACTCTAACACAGTGCTCATTAAAATCTAATCTCTGGGCTGGGCGCAGTGGCTCACGCCTGTAATCCCAGCCCTTTGAGAGGCCGAGGCCGGTGGATCACCTGAGGTCAGGAGTTCGAAACTAGCTTTGACCAACACGGTGAAACCCCATCTCTACTAAAAATACTAAAATTAGCTGGGCGTCGTGGCATCTGCTTATAATCCCAGCTACTAGGGAGACTGAGGCAAGAGAATCTTTTGAACCCGGGAGGCAGGGGTTGCCATGAGCCGAGATCGCACCATTGCATTCCAGCCTGGGCAACAAGAGCGAAACTCCGTCTCAAAAAAAAAAAAAAAAAAAAAAAATTAGCCGGGCATGGTGAAACGTGCCTGTAATCCCAGCTACTCGGGAGGCTGAGGCTGGAGAATCACTTGAACCCGGGAGGCAGAGGTTGTACTGAGCTGAGATCGCACCACCACACTCCAGCCTGGGCAACAGAGCAAGACTCCATCTCAAAAAAAAAGAAAAAAAGAAAAAAAATTCTAAACTCCAAAATTTCTGTCTTCCCTCTTTGAGTTGTGGCCCCTTCATCCGAACAGTCTCTCTGACTCCAACATGTTCCCTAAAATTCCACATTTCTCATTTAAATCTTGAAATTTCTACAACTTCTTCCTTTTCCTCATAGCTCAAATTCTACCAGCAAATGACTGAAAACTGTCCCTTTCCACTCCTATTCTCCTAGTAAAGTCTTCATCACCTCTTTCCTAGACTGATCTATTAGTTAATAATTCTCATCTTATTCCAATCCATTCTATTGCCTGGGACAGCTTTCCCAAATCAAATTTTGAGCATCTCATCCTTACTCACAAACTTTAGCTTCTTTTCTCTTTTTTCTCTTTTGAGACAGAACCTCTCTGTCACCCATGCTGTTGCACAATCTCAGCTCACTGCAACCTCCACCTCCCACATACAAGTGATTCTCATGTCTCAGCCTCCCAAGTAGCTGGGATTACAGGCGAGCGCCACCACACCCAGCTAATGTTTGTGTTTTTAGCAGAGATGGGGGTTTCACCATGTTGCCCAGGCTGGTCTTGAACTCCTGGCCTCAAGTGAATGTCTTGCCTCAGTCTGCCAAAGTGTTGGGATTACAGAAACGAGCCACCGCACCCGGCTTTTTTCTTTCTTCTTTTCATTTTCTTTTTTTTTTTTTTTTATTGAGACGGAGTCTCGCTCTGTCACCCAGGCTGGAGTGCAGTGGCCAGATCTCAGCTCACTGCAAGCTCTGCCTCCCGGGTTTATGCCATTCTCCTGTCTCAGCCTCCCAAGTAGCTGGGACTACTGGCGCCCGCCACCATGCCCGACTAGTTTTTTGTATTTTTTAGTAGAGACGGGGTTTCACCGTGTTAGCCAGGATGGTCTCCATCTCCTGACCTCGTGATCCGCCCGTCTCGGCCTCCCAAAGTGCTGGGATTACAGGCTTGAGCCACCGCGCCCGGCCTCTTCTTTTCTTTTTTTAAACAGACAGAGTCATACTATGTTGCCCAGGCTGGTCTCGAACTCCTCAGCTCAAGCACTCCTCCTGCCTCGGCCTCCTAAAGTACTGGGATTAAAGGTGTGACTTACCACACCTGGCCCAAATTCTTTGATCTTGAGGTTAACCTGTAAGTACATGAGCACTATGCTACATTTATTTTCTGCGAAAATTATGAATTAATCTTGTCATCCAAACATAGGTTCCAAGATTTGTATCAGTGATTCCGTAAAAAATTTTTTACCAGCACTATGAACGAAGAAATCGTTAAAGTGCAACCACCCTGGCCTGACGCGGTGGCTCACACCTGTAATCCCCGCACTTTGGGAGGCTGATGCAGGCAGGTCACCTGAGGTCAGGAGTTCGAGACCAGCCTGATCAACATGGCAAAACCCTGTCTCTACTAAAATACAAAAATTACTTGGGTATGGTGGCTACTCGGGAGCGGCAGAGGAATCACTTGAACCTGGGAGGCGGAGGTTGTAGTGAGCCAAGATCGTGCCACTGCACTCCAGCCTGGGCGACAGAGAGAGATTCCATCTCAAAAAAAAAAAAAAGTTTTTAGGTAGGGAAGGGAAAAATAACGACTGATCAGCACCAATGGTCAGTTAAACAGATTCAGAGTCAATGATTTACCCAAATCTGGAATTCTTTAGCTCAATCACCTCCTCAGAATTCTCTACAAGGCTTCAGAAGACTCCAAACTCAAATTTAAGAACATTAGTCAATGTGATAACCCTATTTCTTTTGTTTTTGTTTTTGTTTTGTTTTTTTTTTGAGACGGAGTCTTGCTTTGTCACTCAGGCTGGAATGCAGTGGCGCAACCTTGGTTGACCGCAACCTCCACCTCCCAGGTTCAAGCGATTCTTCTACCTCAGCCTCCCAAGTAGCTGGGATGACAGGCATGTAGCCACCAAGCCCAGGTAATTTTTGTATTTTAAGTAGAGACGGGGTTTCACCATATTGGCCAGGCTGGTCTCAAACTCCTGACCTCGTGATCCGCCCGCCTCGGCCTCCCAAAGTGCTGGAATTATAGGCTGAGTCACCGTGCCTCGCCCCTACTTCTCAAGAGATTTGCAATTAAGGATTACAAAAAAAAAAAATCAGTGTCCCTTGAAGTAACACGATTATTTATTTATTTATTTATTTTGAGAAGGAGTCTCTCTCTGTTGCCCAGGCTGGAGTGCAGTGGCGTGATCTCAGCTCACTGCAAGCTCCGCCTCCCGGGTTCATGCCATTCTCCTGTCTCAGCCACCTGAGTAGCTGGGACTACAGACACCCGCCACCACGCCCGGCTAATTGTTTTTGTATTTTTAGTAGAGACGGGGGTTTCACCATGTTAGCCAGGATGGTCTCGATCTGCTGACCTTGTGATCCACCTGTCTCGGCCTCCCAAAGTGCTGGGACTACAGGCGTGAGCCACTACGCCCAACCAGTAACACGATTTTTTTATTTTTTATTTTTAGTTTTTGAGATGGGAATTTCACTTTTGTCCCCCAGGCTGGAGTGCAATGGCACGATCTCGGCTCTCTGCAACCTCTGCCTCCCGGGTTCAAGTGATTCTCCTGTCTTAGCCTCCCGAGTAGCTGGTACAGGCACCCGCCACCATGCCCAGACAATTTTTGTATTTTTAGTAGAGATGGGGTTTTATCATGTTGGCCAGGCTGGTCTCAAACTCCTGACCTCAGGTGATCTGTCTGGGTCAGCTTCCCAAAGTGCTGGGATTACAAGCATGAGACACCATGCCTGGCTAGTAACATGCTTAACTATCATTCTGTCAATTAATCTACTCAAGTTCTACTGAAATAACTGCATCACTACTGAAAAAGTGTCACTTAACTTGAAAAATACAAACAGGCCAGGCGCGGCTCACGCCTATAATCCTAGCACTTTGGGAGGCTGAGACGGGTGGATCACCTGAGGTCAGGAGTTCGAGACCAGCCTGGCCAACATGGTGAAACTCCATCTCTACTAAAAATACAAAAATTAGGCTGGGCGCAGTGGGTTACACCTGTAATCCCAGCACTTTGGGAGGCTGAGGTGGGTGAATCACCTGAGGTCGGGAGTTCAAGACCAGCCTGACCAACATGGAGAAACCTCGTCTCTACTAAAAATACAAAAATCATCTTGGCATGGTGGCGCATTCCTGTAATCCCAGCTACTTGGGAGTCTGAGGCAGAAGAATCGCTTGAACCCAGGAGGCAGAAGCTTTGGTAAGCCGAGATTACACCATTGCATTCCAGCCTGGGAAACATGAGCGAAATTCCATCTCAAAAAAAAAAAAAAATTAGCTGGGACTACAGGTGCATAGTCTTGGGAAGCTGAGGCACGAGATTCACTTGAATCTGGGAGAAGGATGTCGCAGTGAGCAGAGATTGTGCCACGGCACTTCAGCCTGGATGACAGAGCAAGACTCTGTCTCAATAAAAAAAAAAAAAGAGAAAAATACAAACATTCTAAAAAAAGGCCTTGAGCCTTTTCTAACTACTCTTGCCTTTTCCAATGACTCTTTAAAAACAAAACGTGGGCCAGGCACAGTGGCTCATGCCTGTAATCCCAGCACTTTGGGAGGCCAAGGCGGGCAGATCACAAGGTCAGGAGATTGAGACCATCCCGACTAACATGGTGAAATTCCCTCTCTAGTAAAAAATAGAAAAAATTAGCCGGGTGTGGTGGCGGGCGCCTGTACTCCCAGCTACTAGGGAGGCTGAGATAGGAGAATGGTGTGAACCTGGGAGGCGGAGCTTGCGGTGAGTCAAGATCATGCCACTACACTCTAGCCTGGGAAACAGCGAGACCCCGTCTCAAAAACAAAAAAAGAAAGAAAACTTGACCACCAATCAATCTGATACTCACATCTTGATTATATTCCAAGAAGACATGGAAATTTAAATCTTTTCTCAAAATAGGATGTGCTGCCACACGACACAGGAACACTTCATGCATCGCAACTGTCTTCTTGAATATTGCCAAATATTCACTAGAAACAATACAGAAAATTAAAGGTAAAAAACTCCATCAACTAAAAAGTCACCTGCAACAATTTTTTTCAGAAAATATTCTTTGGATTATTCCAAATGCAAAATCAGAGATACAAAGATATAATTCATGTAAACAAGGGTTTTAGTTGAACTGTTAATGAAATACATAAAACCCAGTTTGAAAAAGATTTCATGCCAGTTAATAATATTTATATCTGATTGTTAATATTTTTAAGTTTTACAAATTTTTCTTACTATGAGAGTTGATGTTAAAGTTAACTATAGGGCTGCTTGTTCTCAGCTCTAGAGAAAGTATGCTACAAATTATTTGATAGAATCTTAATGATTCAATATCCAATTACTGCTTTTAAACAACTTAGTACAAAAAAAATTAAAACCCAAACCTCAGTGAGCATATTTTCAAAGTTAATAATTATTTTCATCTAATTACCTAAACACACAAGAAACACACTACGAAGAAACTGATTTTTTTTGCCATTACACCAAGGAAATGTGTTTAAAATATTTTAATACCAGCAGTGAATCTCAGAGACCACAAAGTAATACATGTCAGTTTGGGGGAAAAAAAACTCAAACATTCAAGGAAAAGGCCTGATATTCTTGCTTCAACTACGTGCAAGAAGGGTAAGTTTTACATACCAGCAAACCAGCAAACCAGCAGGACCAATGTTGGGAGAAGTTTGATCTCTGTGAGGGTAGTCATTCAGTGAAGACAAAAAAGAAGGATGCAGAGGATGGAGGTAGCAGTAGAATAAACCCAAGGTTCTCTGTTATCCAACCCCTAACCAGACCACAAAAGAACCATGATCAGGGCCACTGGAAAATCACAGATTCTTCTATATTAATGTGCTCTGCTCATTTCCAGTTTTCAGTCTTATAAACTTTGAATATATATCTGTCTGCTATCAGACCACTGCTTGCATCCAAGACCTGCTTTGCTGATTTATCTTTTTAAGAGTTTAGCATCCTGAAGAGGAGTCTAGTAGCAGTGTCAATATATAACTGATAACTGAAACTAGTGGAAGAAGAGGAGAGGAAATGTATGAAGGGGAGAAATGACCCAAAAAAGTGACAGAGATGATAACTAAGGAAAATCATTTCCTTGTACAACTCTCAAAATAGAGAAACATATCCAAGGCCGGGCGCGGTGGCTCACGCCTGTAATCCCAGCACTTTGGGAGGCCGAGACAGGCGGATCACGA